TACCACATCAGCAACAGAATCGGCAACAACGCTGGGATCTTCCGGCGAGAAGGAAACCCAAGGGTAGGATGCAAAAAAAGACCGCATCCCGTCCCAATCAGCTGACCTATAGTGCCAAACACGGCGGCAAGCTGCATATCGCAACGGCGATTGGAGCGTGAGTGGCACCGTACTCCGGATCAGACAATGGTGCGAAGAGCCCAGAATCGACGGAGACCTGATGTCCGTCCGGATGAGAGGTCAGCAGAAGGTCCAACAGGGAAGGTACATGATATTTCACATCTGGGATCCGCGTAGGCGAAGTAACCAGTTGTGTTAGACTATATACCAATGCAAAGTCATAGACAGATCTACCCGCATGATCGGTTAAACGAGAACCAAGCCATTCAGCGTGGTGGGTGTTAAAATCACCAAGTATCACAATCTCTGCGGATGGGACCTGTTGTAGAACGGAGTCTGCAGCCATTTGGACGTGGTCGATGAGTCGGTCTGTGTCGGCATTACCGCTATGGGACCTATAGAGGCACCCGTAGACGCGGGGATAATCGTCGCTGTCTACGCGCAGCCATAGGATGGACAGGTCCGTACCTTCATGACTGCCGAGGCGTCGAAAACAGATGTCCTCTCTGACGTATACGCAAACTCCAGCCCGGGGCACAAAGGGGTGTTCCAATTTGTACCCCGATATGAAGTATCAGCCGGAGAGGACACCTGAGTCTCGGTTAAAAAGAGCAAGACCGGCTTCGCCGTCTCGAGATGATAGTGGACGGCGTTTAGGTCAGAGTGAAGTCCCCTGATGTTGCTGAAATTCACGGATAGTGTGGCAGGGGTCTCCTTGGTGTTCTTGCTCAGTTTGCCCCGAGCAGTTATGTTTTTGAGCGGAATTTTGCCCCCCACCCCCCAGAATACGCGGAGCAGCCTGAGCACCCACGCTCAGGAGTGAAGTAGTTTGGTCGTGGATGCTCAGCGAGGGATTCTCCAGGGGTGCTGGTACCCTACTGGGGTAGTCTTTTATTTAATTCCACTACCATGTTGAAGGGGGGGTGGATTGGGCCTCCAAACTTACAACTAGCACGACAAATGACTTATTCTATTCTATTCAATTCGCCACAGAATGGGTATTATGATATCTTTGTTACTAAAGCCTTGTCTGCATACGAAAAGATTAGCCATAACTCGAAAACAGAAGGGAAATCTTTTCAGCTGAGAGGAGAGTAATTTTAAATAGGGCATTGTAGCTTTTCTTGAAGAACAAGACTACCACCTTTTTCCGGATTCATCCTTAATGTTGGCATTACTCCGAAGGCTTGAAGCCTCCGGAGTAATGCCGACATTAAGGATGAAATTGAACAACTTTTGAAGGATTTTTTGGTTTTCAATCGAGGAGAGAGGTTCTGTTGTAAATACAGCCTCACCAGACGCCTATCCGTTTTTAAGGTGCGGGAGAGCCATTCTAACATTGCTCAGACTGACATCTAGGATATCACCAATGTCTATGAGTCGTGAGATTAGAGGTGTGTTCATAGCATTTTTAGGTTTCTGCGACAGATCGTGATAACATGGCCCCGTTCGCAGTTTTAGGGATTAAAGGGCAAGCGTGACCACTCCAACTAAAGGTTGTCTCACCAGGCGTCACAATTTCTACCATCGCAATTACACTGGCATCACTGACGATGTCGCTTGGTCTTTTTATTGAAGTCAACCTCATCCATCGTCGAACCTTTGGGGCTGCACCAAATCATCTTTTAAAAGGAGTTCGTCATAGAGTCCCTCCATCTCCATGAAGTCAGCCAGCTGTTGAACCCTGATGGTCCCCATGGCCTTATCCAACTACTTTTCCGTTAGTTTCTCTGTTAAGAGTAATAGCGTTTAATAACCCGCAAATAATATCATACATGTGTGATTTATTAAAATATTATCCTGTATTGGATAGTTAAAATATTTGTTTCCTCGATCACGACAAAACAAAAAAGAAAGTCCCGTTGGGTTTCTTGCTAGTTCTTCCCAGGACAGATTTTTTTCCAACCAGTGGTAATAAAACAAGAGTGACTTTCAATAAGTATTATTTATTGAGTAAAAAACTTTCCATATCTATTACTCCATCTCCGTTTTAACCGCGGCCACAGAATAAATCGGCCCACAAAGTAACTAGAAACCAAAGTATAGTTCCTATACGGGAACTAGAAACACTCATCACGAGAGTAATTGTGTTCTGTGCTCATCACTCACCGCGACTTGCGGCAATGAGGATGAGGGCATCCACTTTTTCTGCCACCAGGGCGGCACCACTTTACAAAGAGGTAAATCATTTGACAGATTTCATAGCGGGGAAGATAATTTCTTAGAATGTAATGGAAAAATTGTAAATGTAAAAGTTAATGTTTCTTTCTGTATTATTAGTTATATTTCATATGAATTAAATTAAAAATAAATAAATCAAACTATTAATATAACTAATAACTAAAAGTAAAAAAATAATAGATCAAATCACTGACGCATTATGTTGTGTATTAATAATATAACACTAGAAACTGATATACTATAGGTAATACTAAACGTAGTGATTATATTCTCTTTGGGTATGTAATACTATTAATATATATTCTCAATTAAAAGCATAGATATATGAATTATAGAGGATATCAGATATGGTCACGTGACCTGAAGTCAAGTGTTTCTCAAACATGGCGACGACTCCACCCACAACAAATAGTGTTGAGCTTATTTTGTCGATGATTTTAGTATCGATTTTATAGAAACTATGATGTATTGTCCATCTTATAAGTATATATTAAATAAATAAATATTAGATCACTACACTATAGCATTAGGTTAATCATGTAATAATAGTTGTATTGAGATAATAAAAAAATAAATCTTACGTTCAACTCAGAATAGGAAAGTTTTAAAAATGTAATTGCTTTGAGATATGGTTATATAGAGGCCTTCCAAAACAAAGTAATATGTCTAGGTTCCTTCATAGATATAGAAGGTGCTTTTGACAGAACGAACTTCTCCAGCATAAAAAAGTACACTCAGTAGACATAAAGTTGAACCGGCACTGATTAACTGGATAGTAACCATGCAGTACACGAACAATAAAGTTTCCTGGTGAATCTCAAACAATCCAGATTAAGAAAGGCTGCACACAGATAGGGGCTTTTTCATCTCTCCTGTAGAATATGGTGATAAATGAACTCATCAGCAAATTAAATGCCAATCATTTGTACACAGTAGGTTATGCTGATTACCCGACAATACTGGTCTCTGGAAAGATAGCAAGCATGGTGTGCGACCTGACCCAAGCGGCTCTCCGTATAGTGGAGACATGGTGCAGGGAATACGACTTAACCGTCAATCCAAATAAAACGGTTCTAGTAATGTTCACACAAAAACGTATGCTGAATAACTATCATCTCCCAAGCTTTTCAGCACAAAAAAAGTTATCCTCCGAGGTAAAATATTTAGGTCGTACCTTAGACAGTAAACTCAACTGGAATAAACACATAGAAAACAAAATCAACAAAGCTAGTATAACTTACTGGCAATGCATAAACATGATTGGCAAAAGATGGGGTCTGACGCCAAAAATCATACTATGGCTGTACAAAACTGTAATTCGGCCCATGATCACATACGGCGCTCTGATATGGTGGATAGTGATCTGAGACCATCAAGTTTTCTTTCAATTATATCTGCACAGACTAGCGCTTGCATCTAACTTCCGAGCCGCTATAAAGATTTGACATCGACAACACCTTTTCTTCGTAGTAATGGTCGGTTACTAGTTCAAGTTACCATAAACGTGCGGTAGACTGACTTTATTATTTGCATAAACATAGGGAACCTCATCATACTCCTAACCTTCATCTTAATTTATTTAGGATTTGCGGACGATGTGTTCATACATAGTTACCAGCCGTCATCTCTCTTTCTTTTGGATATACAATACAATACAAACACTCACGCCTGTCACCCAAAGGGGTAGGCAGAGACTACGGACTTCCATTTTGGCGCGATCCTGACACACCTCTCTCGCCTCGTTTACATCCATATATCTACGCATAGCGCATACACGCTCGTCGATTAAGGGTACTCCTAATCTGGCCCATTTTTAATGTATCGCCGATTTGGTCGATAAACCTTTGTCTAGGGCGTCCCTTCCCGACTCTGCCGTTCACTTCTGCAACATAAATTTGCTTTGTCACTCTTTCCTCGTTCATTCTTTCTACATGACCAAACCACCGAAGCATTCCTTTCTTAATCCTTGTCACAACGTCATCTTGCAAACCACACTTTTCTCCTATCACACTATTTCTCACCCTGTCATTCAGATTCAGCCCTAGCATAGTCCTTAAGGACCGCATTTCTACATTATTTATTCTACTCTCATGCTTCTTCTGCCAGATCCAACTTTCACTACCATACATTAAAGTAGTGACTAACACAGCATTATGAATTGCCATACGAGCACACAGTCCACCTGATGGTAAGTGGTTACTGTGACCCATAGACATCTACATCTATCATCAATAAAGACTCAAGATGCAAATGCGTTGTCACCCGTGAGGACTAAGATGGAATACCTCTTTGCCAGTAAAAAGGGTCTCCGGTTCTCTACACTCACCATACGAAACGCAGCAGCGTTAAGCTGCTATTTTACGCTGGTTTTCTGTGAGAGCGTGGTCCTTCCCCGGTTGAGCCGACCCATTTGTGCTACAACTATACTACTAATATAGCTGCAGCAAGGCTCTACCACGTACAGGGGCGGATCTTGAATTTGCGGGGCCCTGGGCTAATACTGCTTAGGGGCCCTACCTAATTACTCAACTAATTGCCATTTTGACAAGAAACTGTTTTCTGAAGTGATGTAGGTATATGTAATGTAATATATGTTAAGTACAGGAAGAAAATAGGAAAACAAAATATTTTATTTATTTATTAAAACATTATTTATTGCAAAATAAATTGACAGGTTATAGATGGTTATGTTATATAAATTATAAAGCAACCTTTCTGCATTTTTGTGCTGCAAATTCTTTTATTTGGTCATCGCACTGTAGGTCCTTTGTTAAATCGCAATTTATTGAAAGAACTGATAAATGATTTAGTCGATAGTTCGACATTGTTGTCCTGTATTTGTTTTCTATATACGACATCCTGGAGAAAGAACGCTCCGCTTCACAGCTAGTGATCGGCATCGTTAAAAAAATCTTTAAGATGGTATAGCAGTTTGGGAAAACATCAACAAGTTTCTTTTCATAAATTAGCCAAAAAATTTCACTGCAAGAGGTGTAAGACTCTGTCTTAGACTGCAGTAAGTAAGATTTTAACTGAATGCACTCATTCACTAAATGTTCGTCTATGTCATTTGGATAATAATCAATAATATTACGTACACTTTCCAGATCTATGAGTTCTTGATTTCTATCTTGCAAATCCATTAAAAATTTAAATTTTTTGCTGTAGGTCTCATAGGCTTGGCTTCTATAATTTAAATCCATAATCATCTTATCCAACACAACGTTAAGCGTGTCTCTTTTAAATTTTTCTGCGCCGTTTACTGAGACTTTATCTGTAGATTTATCTGAAAATTTTGAAGTAATGCGTCTCTTATTTATGTCACTGTAGTCTGTTTCCACACTAGTACTTAATTTTTTAGCTTTCTTTTCGTATTCCTTTAGCTTCTGATCTGATTGTTGCCTTATGTTTTTCACGAACTCTTTTAATGACACAATTAACTTATTGCCTTCACCAATGTCTAAACCAGGGCTCTGTACTTTTTTATTAACTACATTAAATCTCTCCAAAATTTCTTCCCAAAAAATAATTAAAAGTGCAGTTTCTAGTTTCGCCAGTTTATTAAATAAATTTCGTGCCTCTTTTCGGAAATCAACCTTTTCATCGTTATTTTCGCCGAAACTATTGAGAATTTTCATAATGCCATCATAATTGCTTTTCAAAGCTCTGACAGCATCAAAGTGACAAGACCATCTGGTCTGGCTTAAACTTTTTAATGTAAATTTTACTTTTGTTTCACGATTTAATAGTTCCCACCTATGGGTCGAAGCAGAGAAGAAAACGTATATTTTTTGCACTATTCCAAAAAAATTTACAATTTCGGTTGCAACCTTCACGGATTCTTGACTTGATAACTAGGTTAAGGGAATGCGCAGCACATGGCACGTAATCCGCGGATTTATTTTTTTCTTTTAGTAGTGCTTGTACACCATTGTAGATTCCGGCCATATTAGCAGCGTTGTCATATGACTGTCCCCTGCAATTATCCAGTAGTAGTCCATTTGTTTCCAAAAAGGCTTCTAGAATATTAAATAAATATAAGCCAGTATGACTACTAATTTTAATGAAAGACACACATCTTTCATACACTTTTCCCCGAAAACAGTATCGTAATACAATAGCAAGTTGGTCATCGTGAGACAGATCTGGGGTTGAATCCATCATAATTGAATAATACTTTGTGTCGTCGTTGTTTATTTCAGTTATAATTTGTTTAATTATCTGTTTACCCATAATCTCAATTATTTCCTCATATACTGTTTTTGATAAATATGATATTACAGGGTTTGGTCGCAGCTCTCGTTGTTCAATATGTTCACGTATGAATGGGTCGAATTCTGCCAATAGCTCTAGAGCACCCATAAAATTACCATTATGTGGAGAACCAAATACTTCCTCGGAACCTCTAAGTGCTAAGCCTCTTATACACAAAAACTTTAGCACTGCAATAACCCGTTTTAGGACATTGTGATAATATTCTGTTTCTTTATTTAATTGCTCCTGAAGCTGCTTGTCTAAAACAGACTTATTTTCTTTTCGTGTCAACCACACTAACATTGAGTTTTTATGTTCATTAGAATTTTCGTGATTTTCTAAACAAAATCTTATGTGTTTCCAATCAGAAAATCCGGTTGTGTATTGAGAAGGAGTTTTAGAAAAAAGTTTGCAAGTCAAACAAAAAACAGTACCAACCCTTTTTGAATAACATAACCAAGATCTTTCCAGTAATTGGCCATTTTTCATTTTTCTAGTGAAATACCTATTTGAAAAAGATCTGTTTTGTTCTTTATATTTCTTCATAGAAGCTGAATATATATTCTTCGGATCTTTATTTTGAAAGTCAGTCATTTCATGTGAGAGGACGAAATTAATAAAATCATTATTTAGCAAATCTGGCCACAAGCCCACGTCAACATATTTCTCAAACTCAAACTTAATATTTTCTAAATTTCTTTCCACCTCGGTATCGGTATTACCTTTCTTTTGCTGAACACCAATTTCGTTTTCAGAGGAACCAGAGGGTTGCTCGAAGTCAAGATATTGTATATTTTCATCGTTGGTATTTTTTTTCTGGTTTTGCGGTTTTTTGCTTCCTTCGGTTATACTCTCTTCGCATAAAATACCTTCCTTTACGTTTTTTAATGGATTTATAGCTATTTCATTCGCGTTTATATGTTCTGATTTAAAAAAAGTTTCAAGTTTTGCGTATTTATTTATTTCTTTTTCTCGACAAAACTGTAATTTTCTTTTTTCAGCTCCACTTTTATATTTTCTAGCAGACATACTGTAAAATAAGATATTTTTCTGAAAATAAACAAAGAACTGGATAGAACTTTTAATTTTAATACCTACTTTGTAATGAGTGTAGCAATTCCCAAATTATCATTAAATATAGACATAGACATAGACATATGTTTATTAGCATCAATACACACACAAAATATACATTTAGAAATAATGAGACATAAAAACATACAAAGTAGTTGAAAAACATAAATAAAAATAAAATAAATCGCAACAAGAGTGAGTGATGTGATGCCAAAAGGATTCCGTCTCAGCATATGCTACCACAGATACTGCAGCAGCGCTGATTTTCAGCGGAGCCCTGATAAATATTGATTCCGTATTGCGCCCGCGACTATATCGGTAACAACATAAACGAAAAATAATGAATTTACCATTCACTGAAAGTAAATATTTCCAAGTATATACATAAAAGTATTGTAAATTATATTAAAATTAAACATACACATATATCCATATATATGATGTATCTATGTATCTATGAAATAACCTGCCACTACACGTGAAATAATGACTTTTGAGATGCTAAAAGGTGTATTTTTAATTTAGCTTTAAAACCGTTTACAGATTTAGTTTCCCGTATAGGTGGTGGTATATTGTTCCAACATTTAGTGGCCATGTATCTAAAACTGCCACGAAACCGTTCGTTCGTTCGTAATATCGAACGAGTTCGATTCATTTAGTTTTGAAACTGAAATAAAAATAAAAAAGTCATGTTTTATAATTCTTTTTACTTACCTACTGCCTATTAAAAGCAGGAAGTCTAGTTATGCTGAACACTTTCAATTTTAGTAAATTAAAAGAAAAGTCCGGTCCTTATAACTTTTAAGTTATCTATCACTTAGTAAACTAAACACACGCACTAAACAGTAAACACACTTCTAACAATAACAAAGTCAATTCGTTAATATACTTAGTCGACGATAGCAGAAGTGCGGAAAAATAACAAAATTGCGTCGGGCGATAAGCGGAGGGAAGACCCCAGTAATAGACAATACACGGAATACAGCGATCGAAAACAAGCGACAGGGAATTCCCCGTTCCGTTTGATAGATGCGCACACGGGTTGATTGATCGTAGTGTTGCCAACCTTATGATCGGATTTTTTTAAATTCTAGATAATTTTTATTATTGACAATATCGTCTATTGGTTTCAGTTCGGTTGGGGCCCCTCTGTATTCAAGGGGCCCTGGGCTGCAGCCCAAAAAGCCTTTAAGTAGATCCGCCCCTGACCACGTAAAATAAATAATAGCGTGTAGAGCCCCATTCATCCCTGCTAAATAAACATCCCAAATATACAAACTCATCCACTTGCTCAATCAACTCCCCTTCTATTCTTATTTCACATAACGTTTTACTTTATTCTCTTTCAAAAACCATCACTTTCGTCTTACATGCGTTCACTTTGATACCGCTTTCTTTCAATGACCAGTTCATTAAAATAACCATCATTTGCAACTCGGCCGCCGACGATGCAAATATGACTTAATCATCGGCGTACAAAAGGCATTTGACGGTTAACTCACCCATTCTCAACCCACATTCTTCAACTTTCAAAGTTTGCAAATAACTGTCCATAAATAGGTTAAACAGCCACGGGGAAGCCACACATCCCTGGTCTGACACCTTTATGAATGCCAAATCAGTCCGAGTAGACCCCGTTGATTCTGACACAAGCACTAGAGTCCCTATAAAGAGACCTCAATGCCCGTATCAAGCCAGCGCTCAACCCAAATGAGTTCAGTGTTTGCCATAACACATTCCTGTCTACTCTGTCATAGCCTTTTCCAAGTCCATGAAGGCACAAAAAACTTTCTGGTTTTTGGCCAAAAACTTCTCCGCAATCATGCGCATGGAAAAGACTTGATCAGTACACCCCATCCCCTTTCTAAATCCAGCTTGCACATCTCAAATTTTTCCATCAGTTTCTTCCATAACTCTTTCAATTAACACCTTAGCATACAGTCTACCCACAATGCTAAGCAAGCTGATACCACGGTAGTTTTTACAGTCCTGGTGCGAGCCCTTTCCCTTAATATATTGGGACTATAACGGCTTTGCACCAGTCTTCCGGTACCCGTTTCAGTTCCCAACATAAATTAAACAAGGTGCACAGCAGGTCTGCAACCACACCCTCTCCAGCCCTTAGCATTTCGAGTGATATTCTATCATATCCGGCTGCCTTACCTGCTTTCATGCTTTTCATTGCTTTCATTATTTCATCTACACTTATCTCCCTACCTCTCTCCACTTCTTCCGGAATTTCTATTTCACTTACTTCAGACGACTCTTCACTCTTAAACACGCTTTCAAAGTATTTCTTCCATCTCTTTAAATTCTAAGCTTCGTCATTCAGCATGCAGCCATTCTCGTCTCGTATAGCATTAATTCTAGGCTGTTTTGAATTTCCCCTGGCAGTTCTTACGAGCTTCCAGAACATTTTAATATTTTCCTGAAAGTTATCAGATATCCTTCTATCATTCTTAGCTATCCTTTCTTGCTTTTTCCTTTCAACAACTTCTTTTACTCTCTTATTTATACGTCTAAAGTCTGCCTTTTTTCTTTCAATCTCATCATTCATACCGCCAGAATTACCAGCTTTGGTTGCTAGTTATGCTTTCTTCTTTGTTTCAACTTCCATCCGTACCTCATCATCCCACCACAACGTATTACTTTTCCTTTCATTCTTTCTCTTACTTACACCACATACTACGGTGGCTGCATCCACCAAAACTTTCTTAACCGGTTCAGTGCGGGTGACACGCCAGGCGTGCCATCGATTACTTTTGTGTGTGGCGTATGACACGCCCGGTGTGTCCTTTTAAAAATCGTTATAACTCGCTCAAATTGCTTTTTTGGAAAATTTATCCAGAACAAAATATTCATTATTTTGCGAGTAGTTCATGCATGCAGCGTCGTTTCTGGATATTTTGAAAATTTGAAATTTTTAGGGGTTGACAACCTTTTTTAACGTGTACATGGTACTATTTTTACTTTGTGGGTTTTAAAATCATGTTATGGAAAAATTGTCTAATAAGCAACAAATAATAGCGCTCATTGCGATCGCTCACAAACACAAGTTGTAAATAAATTTCTGGAAATCAAGTCTCCTGTTAAAAAAAACAATGCGTTTGTCTTATTGTTTAACCGATTCGTTGCGGCACAAATTTTCGACAACTTTTAGCTGTGGCGGCGAACAAATATTTCATGACACACCGGGCGTCTCAAACGCCACAGACAAAAATGACACGCCTATTGTTCCATCCGCCATGTGTAAAAGTAATGTTCTTTTTTATGCTTTTTTTACTTGTTTAGACCTAATTAAGTTTATTTGACATCAAACATAAGTTACAAATGGAAGGATACTTGTTTTTAGTGGGTAACTACGAGTTTTTTTACGCGTTTTCTTTGAAATTGAGAGAAAGTGACTTTTTTATGAAGAGATTACAAACCTTTTGTACTATTTTTTGTTGTCTAATAAGTAACAAATAATAGTACTCATTGCGATCGCTCACAAACTCAAGTTGTAAATAAATTTCTGCAAAACAAGTCTCCTGTTAAAAAAAAACAATGCGTTTGTCTTATTGTTTAATTTTGCTTAAAATGGCCGTATAGCGCCGGCGTTTTTTTCCTTTTGAAAACACTTGTTTTGCTATTCTTACTAATTAGACGTTTTCAGATCGACTTTACTTTTACATTTGTATAACATTAAATAATATTTAACATTTGTAAATATCAATGAATGATATACCTTATTTTTTTTTCAAATTAAGGTTCTTCATTGTTTGATATTTACAAATGTTATTATTAGGTGAAAATTTAATTTAATAAAAACCAAGGTTTCCAGGGTGATTTAGCTGTACCTACTTATATAAATGATTTTTTATAACAACAAAAAATAGTACAAAAGGTTTGTAATCCCTTCATAAAAAAAGTCACTTTCTCTCAATTTCAAAGAAAACGCGTAAAAAAACACGTAGTTACCCACTAAAAACAAGTATCCTTCCATTTGTAACTTGTTTGATGTCAAATAAACTTAATTAGGTCTAAACAAGTAAAAAAAGCATAAAAAAGAACATTACTTTTACACATGGCGGATGGCACAATAGGCGTGTAATTTGTCTGTGGCGCTTGACACGCCCGGTGTGTCATGAAATATTTGTTCGCCGCCACAGCTAAAAGTTGTCGAAAATTGGTGCCGCAACGAACCGGTTAATATATCGTTTGGATAATAAAGATTATTTATCTTAGCAATCTAATCGAGTTGATTAGCCCCTTTCTAACTATATCACCTTTCACACAATTCATGAATCATTTCATTGGCTATCGTCTTCTCTTTTAACTATCCTAGCGTATTTCTCAATCTTCCGCATCACATGTTCATACAATATGACAACCAATTTCCATGCAACTTCTCGGTCAATGGCGGCGGCTGCCTCACTTTCAGACTTCCCCTTACATACTCAATTTTAATTATATCCTATTTGTGTAACACCACAAAAAATCAATTTTATAAACAGTGTTTACAACCTGCAAGTTGAAAAGGCTACAACCAGTAGCATAGTTGGTGGTGGGTGCTGGAGGTAAACGAGAGAGTAAGGATTAAAAATAAATGAAATAACAATAATGTATACTGATTAAAATCAACTATTCGTGACGAAATAATATTAATTTAGTCAAAAAATTTCTTTTAGACACGTGTTCAACATGTTTTGTCCCATAATATTTATATCTTATATCTAAATAAGCAATAATTACTGATTTTATTAGTAGTAATTTATGGGAACTCTCGTGTTCTCTGTTAGCGCTATTGAAAATTTTGTCATTATCAAAATGTTCCATTAAAAATTTATATATATAAATGTAATATATTTCCGGATTTTCTTTATAAATTAAATTTTGTTTTACAATCTTCTCAGTATTTTTTACAATTTTCACTAAAGTTGGAGACGGATATGTTAAGTCACCTTTAGACTGTTTTTCAATAAGGCTTTATATGTACTATTCCTTTGAACCGTGTAACATTCCAACGCACTCATCACATTTTAAGCTTTTTGATAATTTTCTGGCAATAAAGCCAGCTATGTACAAGACGACCTGTTCTGAATACTCACTCTGTGAAAATTTAAGGTGATACAAATACTCCTTATACAGTGTACTGTCGTCTTCTTCTATTAATATGTTTCGATCCGTTAAGTTATTAATATTTTTAACAGGATCATCTGTACTAGGACAATTCAAAAGTTATATTTGTTCAAGAGGCATACAGTTCCCAATGCCATGTTCTCTAATTTCTGCACGAATTAACAGCCTTTTGTAGGCTGCCTTAAATTGTACGGCATTGTGATTATTATTGTATACACATCTTGAACGAATAGCAGAAAAAATAGTTCCAGATGATTCTGTAAAGTTTTATAGAAAGGCAATGGTATAAATTGAGTGCACTGGACATGTTCACAAACATACCAATAAACCCTGTTTTACGACGAGAAGTAACTATTAACTGCCCTGTTTCCAACTTCAGTTTTTTTATATACAAGAAGCACACTGAAATGATCGGGAATAAGAAAAACCACATGCAAATATAGCTAAATTGTATTTTATTGTTTTTCGAAGTATTCTCCGTTCAACTTAATGCACTTTTCCATTGGTGCAAACCAATTATTAAAACAGTAATTCCAGTCTGAAGTTGAAGTTGATAAAATGGCTGATTTGTATGCTTCCACAGCTGCTTCGGGGTCTCCAAACCGTTGACCGTGTAGTAAATTTTTCATTCTAGGGAATGTAGAGAAATTGTTTGGGCTCAGGCCAGGACTGTACGGAGGATGGCTCATCAGCTCAACGTTTTCCTTTTTCAAAAAATCATTTGTCTTCCGAGCCGTATGGCAGCTCGCATTATCGTGATGTAAGATGATGCGACGGAGTTCGGCTATCATTTCTGGCAAACAAACCGTGATATACCATTCAGCGTTAACCGTTCTGCGTTCCTGTAAAGGAATTGTAGCAACATGCCCCTTTTTCGAGACAAACGTAGCGACCATTTTCTTTGACACGCTGCAGGAGCGAACCACTTTCGTTGGTTTGACCTCGTCTTTGAAGACCCCTACTGACTGATGTTTTCTTTCGGGTTCGTATGAATAAATCCATGATTCGTCACCTGAGACGATATTATAAACGGCATTTGACTTCCCTCCGTTGAAGCGTTGCAGATTATTCCGGCATCAATCTACACTAGCCGCTTTTTGCTCAGTCCGAATCTGCTCGTATGTCACATGACGGACATCTAATATAATAATTCGCACAGCTGCGATGTTTTCAGGCGTGACCGCTGTTCTTGGTCAACCTGCAGAAGAAACAGTGCTGAGCGACACACGACCGCGTCGGAACTCGACATACCAGCGGTATATTGTCGTTTGACTCGGTGCTTCAACATCACAAATCGAAACAAGTTCGCTGAGACATTTATCTTGAGATAAGCCGCTACGAAAATTATGATAAATTATGGCATGGAAATGTTCACGCGTGAGCTCCATTTCTGTTAACGACGTGTCAACTTTAAACCAACATAGTTTTTGGTTTTAAACATTTTTTTTAATTGTTTGAATGTCATTAAGATTCTAAGAGGCCAGTATTCAAATTCTAAAAAAGGTTTTATTGTAACTCAATCCAAAATATTCTATTCCCGAACATTTCAGTGTGCCCCTCGTATGTTGTGGCTTCATGGAATATTTTGATTACATCTCCGTAATCTTTGCAGAATAACGCCTTTTTCCAGCCTGAAGGCCGAAGAGATCGGCTATTGAGGCTCGGCTCCCCCGTCTTCTGTAGACCCTTCTACGTTTGTCATTGCAGAAGAGACAGACCCTCGTCTCATCAGAGAAGAGTACGGTCCGCCACTGTTATAGAGTCCACTCGCAATGATTGCGAGCAAACTCTAGGTGATCTCTGCGATGCTGTGCAGTAAGTTTTGGACCTTTAGCAGGTCTATGGGCTGTTAAACTATTTTCGTGTAACCTTCTTCTTATCGTAGAAACACCCACAGATGTTCTCCGAGTTGATCGAAGCTGTTGTTGCAACTCAACAGCATTTGTAAAACGGTTTCGTAAAGATGTCGTAACGATGAAACGGTCATCTCTTTCTGATGTGCACCGTTTTCTTCCAGATCCCGGTTTTCTAACATAACCACCAGTCTGCTGAAAACGTTGGAACACCCGTCGAACTGAAAAACGGGACAGGTTCAACTGTCGAGCAACGTCACACTGCCGCATCCCCGACTGCAATAGGGCAATCACTTGAGCGGCTTCTTCAGAGCTGGTGTCCATCTTTACTTGTTCTTACTTGGGTTACTTGTTCACGTGTGTTCACTGCAAAGTCTAAATTACGACTGACCCATATTTCATCCAGATCGACCCTTTTATATCCTTTTAAGGTGGTGTAACTAGCGTCCTTACTAACGAGCATTTGACAGTGTTTATTTTTGACGCTCTATAATGATAAATGTTTTAATGATTTCATGATTTTTTTATTAATAATGTAAAGCTATTGAAATACCCATTTCAAACATACCAATATTTATATAAATATAATTCGTTTCTAGCCATTACAGCCATTTTTCGCGCAGACTCAGAGAGGTGCGATTTTTGTGACGCTGAGTGTATGTTTACACCAGCTTCCTCCACCATTTGGATACAAATTTTTACCAAATGGGCTTTTTGCTCTCCCATTGGAGAATTAATTAAAAAATATCCTACTGGAATCTTCCATGCCTCATTAATGGCTGTAAGGAGCATCACGAAGCATTCGCTGGCTTCCTCTGTGGAATCCTATTCTTCGGTTATCCCTGTATTCACTTTGCCATTACACTTTTTAGCCGCATTGTCCCAATATAGACTTTTTCGTATTGCCATTTCATCTATTATAAGCATGCAGAGGATCGGTCTTGGGCTATTTTGGACCTTTATTTTTAAAGTTTTAAAAGCCTCGGCCGTAAACCCCAGTTCAGTGTTCACATGCTTGTACCATTACGACAGTGTCCGAGGATGAGGTAAACAGTTTTTATAAGTTGTCCTCACGAATTGGTAGGCTTTGGGCTACAAAAAGTTCAGTGTGTAACCTTCAGTGCAAGCCTTCTTATGTCTTCACCGTATGATCATGGACAAGACTCACCTCTATGCCGCGAAATTTGTCTCGAAAAAAATTCTGGAGAGCCAGCTCATTCTTCCAATAAAATAGCACCTTCGTGAGGAACAAAATTTTGTTTTTTCAATTCGTCTATTATATTTTTATAAGTGTGTACCTTTTGCTTCAGTCTTCGGCACTTTTGGTTTAGTAATTTTATTTTCTTTCGCTGTAGCAGCACTTGTTTTTGTAATTCTTGCATTTTAACTGCTGTTTTATCAGCAAAAACCTGGAAAGTAACGAAATTAATTTATGTATAGTGGTTTTTAACAAGGGCATTATGGGGAAATCAGAAAGTTATTTGAAGATTCTAAAAATATTATAAATGCCGAAAGGTATTTCTTAAGAACCCAAGATCAAACACAGTATTCAAGAAGTATAGTCAATTTACATTTGAAGAAGGATACATGTGGCAGTAAGTGGTTTGCTTTTTTTTGTATAGGTTAGGGTGACAAACGAGCACACAGTCGACCTGATGGTAAGTGGTTGCTCTGATCTATAGACATCTACATTTATCCTCAGTAAAGAATCAAAATGCAGATGCGTCGGCACCCGTGAGGACTAAGATGCAATGCCTCTTTTCCAGTAAAATGGGTCTCCGGTTCTCTACACTCACCATACAAAACACAGCAGTGTCAAGCTGCTATTTTACGCTGGAATTCTGTGAGAGCGTTGTCCTTCCCCTGTCGAGCAGACCCATACATGCTACAACTATACTACTAATATAGCTGCAGCATGGCTGTACCAAAAAGAGATTCTGTTACAAAATATATACTATGTAGTTTGACCAAAACATAACCTAATATTGTTTTAAAATAAGTAAACTAGATATTAAAAATATATATATTTTTAAGAAGATATCCAATGGCATATGCTGAAAGAAAACATTTTTTATTGTATTATGATACTTAATATTTTGTTAAGATTCATATGATTCTTACAAGATTCAAATTGGTGGGGCCATTATTTTGATATATCAGTTAATCTTCTTATGGATAAAGAATGAATATACGAACCATAGACATATCTCCTGTATTTTCAGATAAATCTACTTTATTTGTTGGTTGCACCCGTTCTGTGTAGATGGGAGCATCTATATCAATTGGTATATGCTGAAAGAAAACAATTAATTTATAGTTTTATATAGTTGTATGATACAAGCTGTTTTAACAGTAACATTGATTAAGCATATTATTTGGTGATGGCCCAGTGCTCGGGCACATATTTATCTTCAAAAACTTGTTCCTACTATAGAAAATTTTAATAGAAGAGAACAAGTAATATAAGATAAGGTACTTACAGGAAAAAGAGCAGGAACTACATTATCATTAAGCTGAACCACCTTCAATGCTGTGTTTACAGAACTTGTTTGTTTTACTCTTGATTGCACTGAAGATGATGTAGTAAACTAAAAGAAACATGAAAAAATATATGTTAATCTCTTAAAGGTGTTTTGATCAGTGGTGGCCCACTGCTCGGGACAAACATTTCTTTGTGTGTCTCGAGCAGTGTCACATTTCGTAACATAAATTATTACATTGAAATATTTTTAAAATACATCTCACAAATAAAATTTGACGATGTGTACTATAAGGATGCAAACAGCTTATGAAGAATTTATTCGTTTATTTAAACTTGTTTTTGATCTTTGTATTCCAATTAAATGGAAATATGTTCAAAACAAAATGAAAGAAATTGTTAATTGAAAATGTTTTTTACAATTTCAATGAGTTTTACAGTAAAAGTAATGTTAGTAAGTAGTTAATTATAAATTTATTTGTTTCTTGTTGCATATCTGACATGGTAAACTGTTGAGCCTAAAACTATATGTTTTTATGTTTATATGTTATATGTTTTTGTATTAAGATCATATTGTACACAGTTACGCAATAAATATATCTTTATCTTTGTGAAATTGTGTATTTCATAACCATTGCTCAATTGGAGATTGAAATTTCAAATTGTGGAACAAAAAATGCATTATAAAATCAATAATTACAAGGCATGTGACATCAATCAACAGGTACTGGCTCCAAGCTTTGTGTTCAATGTGTATTAAACAGTATCATATTAACAGAAAATATATTTTACTTACTGGGAAAAGAGTGGGAACCACATCATCCTTAAGCCGAACTACATCCAGCGTTCTGTTTATGCATTCTTTTTCAAAATGCAAGGAGCATATTCTTCTTACAACTACAGGTTTTATGTTTCCCTGGCCTATATTATTAATCCACAATTTTTGTAGGCCTTTATTCTTTGGGAAACTAAAATAAATATTATGCATCCTTAAGTACCAATGAAATAATCTTAACCTCATCAAATCTTTTGATGAAAAAAACTATTATAGAAAATTCTTCATCTACACTATTTTCAAGTTATTTCCTTAAGTGAAAGGCTCTCGATTGATTAAATATACAGTTTACATATTTAAAACGTTATTTGATTATAGGACTATATCAATATTATTGTTAAACTTTATATCGATAATTTCAATATTTTTCTTATATCTATGGTATAAATGAAAACAATCAAAACTTGTTTAATTTTACATGATAATAGCCATTTGAAATTCTAGAAAATAGCGGGAAACACAATCTAGAACCCATAATATGAACACGAAACACAATTCACACGAAAAATACACATGATTATGGAAAAAAATTACAACTAACCTGAAAAATGACAATCCTTCTTCATTTTTACAAGAATTTGAATTACATCCATTGATGCAACACTTAGTCATGTTGTTTTTTGTTCAATTAGTCTTTAAAAATCAACAAAAAGCACCAAAATAGTCAAAATTCACTGTAACACAGAAAATTAACCCCGAACAGCTTGGTGATATTATAAAAACTGGCAACAGAAAATTGAAGTCTAAAATATGTACTTATCTCTTTTTACATTTGAAAATTATTAAATTATGGCGTGTGAGAATAAGACATATATATTTTTGTTGGCAAGGTTCATGTTTGCATGATATTTATTTAACCAAAAAATAAATATGCAATTTACTGCTTATCCTCTATTATTCTTATTATATCTATGATTAAAAGTGACATTGTGTGACAGAAACAGAAAACGTTACCTCAGTCCGTCAGTCACAATTAGCGACATCTGGTGAGAGGAAGATGATTAGCCCTCCTTAGTTTATGCCGCGGTGCCAAAGGCCATAGACTAAACCAAAAACATGACATAGACATGGAATAACCTTCTTACCAGCCTACGAATTTTGAGTATATACACAAAAATAATACTGACAGACGGATTTCAAATAGTACATCTCAAAATATAAATTAATTTAACTGCACCAATGTAGTTTAGAAATAAAAACTAGTTAAAGATCTCTTACATTATAACATCGATATTACTTCAAATAATAAATACCTTAAACCATAGATTATAGAACAGTATATTCTATAGGCTCATGCAGCTACATATTTATTTGTCTATGGGTTCATGCTGTAAACATAGACAGGGTAACCTATAACCATAAAACTAATAAGAAGTGCTAGAGATTTGACTTGTAGCAAGGACTACAATGTTAACTCGTAGTAATAGGTATAGCGGTACTTCTATACCTACTACTAGAAGTCAAGTACAATAGTATGCGTATGCAAGTTATATTCGAAGTCGAAGTACAAAGAGTGAAAGAGTTAGAGTATACTTTCTGCGTATAGCCAAAAGCATAGAGTAACTCAGTTTGTTTGGCCCAGTTTGGCCACAACGTTAATTGTGCACAACAGTCTTGACGTTTCTGTTATTGTAAAAACTAAATGACCTTTGGTCAATAAAACTGTTATTAACTCTTTAATGATAAGTGTTTACCTGAAGTTACGTACTAACATGGTTTATTGTAGTGTCATTGGCTGCAAAAGCCGTAGTGAGCGGAAAGAAGAAAATATAACCTTTCATTCGTAAGTGCTACATTTGTTTGTACATCATTATTTAACTATATTCTAAGAAGAATATGAAAAATATCAATAAAGCTTACTTGTGATCCTATAGTCTGAACCAAATTGCAAAAATAGAATTACAGATTAATAAACATGTAGCAAGTATAGATTTAATATAAATATGGTATAAACTGACGTGGCAATCTAAATAGAATAGTAATTCTCTAATAGATATAAAGTAATCTGTGATTGTAATTTACGATCCCTATCCACCCAAATTTAAAAGTCTAATAAGCTAAAATACTTCCATATATTTTGAATTTGGTAGGATTATTGATACCAGTTTTTACATCTGTAATATCTTAGTTATAGTATGAATTATGTTTAAGTAAAGTGTATATGTGAATAACATTATAGTTAATTTTTTTATTCATATATTATTCCAATTTTTTATCCTAGCCTAGCTTTCCAAAAGGTCTAGATATGCGAAAATCGTGAATAATGTGTAACGGGCGTACAATTATGGAGCAATTTTGATGATTCATTTTCATCAGACAGTGACTTACCGAAATTAGCTATCCGCATGCATCACTCCTGTTCAAAATAAATGGAAGTTATAAAAATAGTTTTTTTTTTAATTAGCGTAGAATAATAACTTACTAACTAATAGTGTTTAATCTTCATCATAACTTGGTTTGGAAAACAATTTACTCGATCCTTCGAATAATAATTAGTATAGTCCTATTTTCTTTATTTTTAGACATATGATAAATTAATAAAAATAAATAAATAAAAAGAAACGAGTACATTGATGTCGATTGTTGCTAACATTGAGAACGAATTCACTATTGATTACACAATAGACCTTAGAGTATTTATAAGCAAGCTATAGAGCGCGTCTATGCAAGTCAGAACTGTAAACACGCGTTAGAACAGTCTCGAAAAGGCCAAAACGACGCCACGTTATTAGTAACGAAAGGTTACGCGCGTTAATTATATATCTTGATGAAATTTAATAAAATTTTTAGTTATCATGGTGAAATGTACAGTTCCCAGCTACTGAAACGATCCACGGAAGCAAAATAAGGAGGACTATGGTATTTATTTTTATCTGTATGTAATATTTCGATAAGAAAACACTCATTTTAACAAAATGATTTAGGGCGTCAAAAGGTTTAGCGGGAGGCACGCGGCGGGATGTCATAGCACGTACCCCGCGGCTCACGTTTCGGGTTTTCCCCGAATTAGAGCTAGTAATGTGCCACGTTGCACTCGAATATTTTTGAATAACATGATTTCTTTCGTAATAATTATATTATTAGAAGTATAGATCCTTTGTATTCCTAGCCCATATGGATCATAAAGTTAAAAAAGTTAATAACTGTTGCGGTTAAATACTTTTCCAATTTCAGTTTTTCGAAAAGCCATGAATAATATAAAATTAAATATTTTGTACAGCCGACTTTAATATAAGTTATTAAGAATAACTCAAATAACTCAAAAACTATTAGTCTGACCTTGATCAAATTCATATATGACCACATGAGAAGTATCAGCTTTCATATGAAAAGAATCATCGAAATCGGTTCACCCAGTAAAAAGTTATGAGGTAACACACATAAAAAAAACATAGGTACGCGTCGAATTGAGTATCGTCTCCTTTTTGGAATTCGGCAGATTAACAAATAAGGGCCGCTAACGTACCGGGCACTACTACATTATGGATGTCATTTTTTCTTTAGTAAATAAAAAGATATGAATGTACTTATTCTCATATTTTGGCATACTATAAAGATTTGGATATACTTGGGGACAAAAGTCGAGACATATGTCGCGGAACATTTTACAGGCCGCACTAGTCAGTGCTTATAGAAATGTCGCCCGAAGAGGTTGCGGTGATTAGTGCTGCGTAAATAGTACTTATTTTATGGTTTAAGGGCGGAATTTCTTACTATAACGAGAAGAAAGAAGAATTAATATTTTAAGTGATCTCCGAATGTCTAACGAATCTTTTGTGAATGTTACTCGAATGTTAACATCTAATTTTGAAACTTTATAACAAATAATCGGATCTTCCATAGCCACACACGATAAAATACTACGATACACTGTTGGCCCTCAAATCAGACTTGCCACTGCATTAATATATTTGGCGACTGGAGATTCTTATGTCGTACACTTTTCGAGTGGAGAAGTATCTGATCGGCAGAACAGTACCAGAAGTTTGTGGTTTGAAGTATCCCACAACAAAACATGACTCTGGTAAAGCTCAGGTTTCGTTTCCCCATACTACTCACATGTTGCAAGGCAAGTGCGCACATGATCTCTGAGCGAGAACTGGCAACATGTCCCATATCACGTAAAATGTTGCGGGTCATGTCGCGGGTCACTGTGCAACGTTACATCGTCACGTAGATGGAGTGTTCCGCGTCATCTTGCGGGACAAAATGTACCCTAGTGTATCGGGGGCTTAAAGAGACCACAGAAAACTTGCCATTAAAGCTCAACGCATTAATTACACATAACATCTCGCAACAACTTTCTCTTTTTGCTTTATTTGAAAATTAAATTAGAAAAAGCGAGACAAGTGTGTTGATTGAATATGTAGATTCCCTCTATACATACATATGTATGTAATTACTCTAGGGTCTATAGCTGCCCCATAAATAATAGAATAAACAGATCTGCCCTTTACGGGTGCGGGTGTTCACAGAAGGTATCCAGACAGACTTCGCGATATTTGCAGTTCGCATATTTTTCACGGGACTTCATAATTGAAATAGGCTTAAGCTTAAAACTGAGACTAACTATTTTAAACAACTTTTTGTATTATGGTGGCAAGTAAATCAGTTATGATAATCGCCTTAACTGTCAGCGACACTATCGTGAATCAGTGTCGATATGTGATTCAAAAATAATGTAATCACTACGCTTACGCCTTAATAGTTGTGTAGTTGATAACATACTAGAGGCTGTGACTATCTATTCAGCGCTCCATTATCAAAGATTCGATTTTTATATATTACTTATTAATCGTTTCTGAAACAGTTTTTATACCTATACAATAAAAGTATTGTCGAAGGGCTTGAATTTTGTAATAACACAACCACAAAAAATCCCTTAACGCCTTAATAGTTGTGTAGTTGATAACATACTAGAGGCTGTGACTATCTATTCACCGCTCCATTATCAAAGATTCGATTTTTATATATTACTTATTAATCGTTTCTGAAACAGTTTTTATACCTATACAATAAAAGTATTGTCGAAGGGCTTGAATTTTGTAATAACACAACCACAAAAAATCCCTTACGAAGAAATTATCTGTAGTGTTGAGGATTGTCTGTTTAAGAATAGTATCATTAAGGAAGATTTAGAGGCCATACGTCAAGATATTTCGTCCTTGTTACGTCGAAGTTCTGCGCTGAAACTAAATCTCCCCACAGACGAGGTTAAAGCGTTATACATCTTACGCAACAGACCAGAGCTCACGATTTTCCGCGCGGATAAAGGAAATTCTACGGTAATAATGGACACTTCAAAGTATAATTTCAAAATACAACAACTTTTATCGGACGTAAGTACATAAAAAAGGTCAAAATATAACCTACAACTAATACACTTAAAACAACTACCGACTTAATAAAGAAATACTCTGAAAAATTAAATCTCGACGTGAATTCGACAATAACATCATGTGCCAAACTACCGAGGTTGTATGGGTTACCAAAAATACACAAACCAAACGGTCCACTACGTCACATAGTCAGCCAGATCAGATGATGTGCGGATGTCGCGCACGCTCAGCTGGCCGACGTGCAAACGAGCTGCGCCAGCACGCACGCTCGCC